TTCAAGACTATCTTGCTCTTTTTGCAGGCAAAAATTAAAGCTGTACACGAATCTGTTGCAAAAGGCCATTTGCGAGAAGTTCGTTCTGTTCTTACACGAAAAAGATTCGCTTTAAGTAGAGACCATGTAGGAGCCAGTCCTTTGCACTTGGCAGTACTACATGGACATACAGACGTTTCTACATATATTATTTCCCATTTTCCAGAGACAATGGACGGTCCCGATAACGTAAGTTCCAGCTGTTTTGGGTGAAATCGCATGTAATCGACTTGCTTTACTGTAATTATATAGTCATACTTTTATTTTGTTCATACAGATTAAAGTCAAATTCTTAGACTGGCACCTGTGAATGTATTAAGAATTTAATGCTTTCACACGTTCTTTCAGCTTTTAATTTTATAGAAAAAATGCTTAAATTATTAATTCTTTATAATGAAACTATAATTATTGCTTGCTGATTACTAATACGCACGAATGTTTCATAGTGACTGCATGCCTTTGAAAGCAAAAGACTGAAACTGGAAATGCAAAACAGAATAGGAAGAAAAACCTTATAAACAAAATATTTGTCAACGAAAAAGAAATCGTAAATAAAATTAGGATAAGGAATTAATAAATTAAATAAATTAATAAATTAAAATAAGGAATATACCATTGCATGTTCTTGCGCAAATTATGATAATTACTTAATTTATTTTAATTGATTCTGGAATGTTTTCCGAAATGGTAAATGCAGAAATCACAAAAACTCAAAAAATTTCAAAACTGATTTCATTTTATATGTGTGTTATCTAGTTTCGACATGAAATATTTGCAAGAACCATGCGAGTCCAAGTGAAAGCTTTGACCAAAATGAGGAATATTTCACGAAACCGATACACAGAATTTCCTTCCAATACGCAGAAAAAGGGAATTTTATGCAACTGACTGTTTACAGATTTATTGATGATATCCTTGAACACGTTTAATTTGAAAAAAAAAAAAAAAAAAAAACAATGGCATACTGGAATCATCATTTTGCCTTATAAATCTTTCTACGCATTCTGGAAAGTTCCTTTAATAAGAAAAAGGCAAGAAAAGAACCAAAGAAGTGAACGAATTACATACCAAAGTATTCAGTCAGGTGTTTTCAATATCTGTTAGTTTTTAATTCAACAATAAAATAAGTAAAATAATAAAAAAATATTTTACTTGATGTTCTAATCATTGATTGCAAAAAACAAAATAAAGCTAGTCGGGCTTCGAATTTCTTAAAATATGTTTGCATAAAAAAAGCCAAAGAAAATTAGAAAATTATACTTCTGTACTGTAGCTTTAAGGAATGATCAGAAGGTGCTCCATGAAATCGGAGTTTTGAAGTAGTTGCCCAGTTTAATAGGACTCACGTAGTTTCTGCGTTCAGTGATTCGGTTAGAAAACATTCATTAGTTACACTTACACCAGATCTATAAAATAACTGGGTCTGGGTCATAATCCCGACAGCCGAAATCCCGACAAGCCAGAACCCGATCAGAATCCCGGACTGTCCAAAAACCCCGAACACCCCAATTCCCGAACACCCAAAAACTAAAAATCCCGAAGGGTCCAAATCCGACAAGCCAGAATCCGACAGGGTTCAGAATCCCCCGAGTGTCCAGAAATCCCGACATGGTCAAAATCCCAACTGTTCAAATCCCGACACTGTTTAATATCTAATATAAACACTTCAATTTTAACTTAAAAAATACAATTTTTAACTAACTATTACATATACTAATTAAAAAGTTTAAAATCAAAAAACATAAAAATTATGTCATTACTTTAAATTATTTAACAAAATTGAAATGACCGTTAAAATTTGAAATGAAGATTTATAAAATTCTTTTTATTAAAAAAAGAAAAATCACTTACACATGCAAACGACATTTTACAGTACACATGTGACGATAGCACGAAGATATTCCATCACAGGTCGATTATCACATCGTCCACAAAGTCCTAATTCTCCTTTCCTGTCATCAGCTACCTTCCTACGTTGGTTGTTTTCTCCCGCGAAGAATGCATCAACTGGTATTCCACATGCTGCTATTATTTTTGAAATCCTTTCTATGAATGTGTGGTAAAACGGCCGTCAATTAAGGTCTCTCATCTTCTTGCCAATCCTCACAGCATTTTGGAGTGCGCGAGCATTTATTTTAGCTGGCCTTTTTTCTAGATCACTATGATTCTAGATGCCTCATTTCAATACTTCTCAGCGAAAATCAATTAAATCTTGAATAATCTTTTGCAATTTTCTCAGATTTGCTAGTCATCAAAGCTTACTAGTTGCAGCTTGGTGTTATGTTTAAGGGGGCATTAGGGCCTCATTGGGATTTTCGCCCTTTCGGTATTGACCCTGTCGGGATACTAGACACGGGATTTCGACCCTGTCGGATTTTGGTTGTCGGATTTCACCCTTCGGGATTTTGTGTCGGATTTCGACCCTGTCGGGATTTTGGCTTGTCGGATCCGTCTGTAGGGATTCTGGCTTGTCGGGATTTCGGCTGTCGGGATTATGTCCGGATACCAAAATAACTGTACTGGTTTCACAGTAATGGCATATATTTGTCAAAAGTGGCTATAAAATGCAAACCTATATATAGCAATAGCGAGAATGTCTGACTTTCGTGGGCACTGAATATCGGCTGCATGTGTTTAGTGTCGCTAGGCCGCAGCAAGTCCAAGTTATCTGCTTCTGAACTCACTCAACCCCTTGCCTAACGGTATGGGTTTTATGAAAAGCAGGATCACCGCTGCAGTGAACACACGTTGTCCGACCGTGTAGGGAGTGTCGTGATGCTGGTTATTATTTAATATCGTCCAGATATCTGTTATGAAGAGCGCTTAGAAAGAAAAAATTTGTACTATATATTTCATAATCTCGAGAGCCGACACTTTTCATTATGTGCATTAAAGCTTTGATAAACATTTATGGAATTCTGATGTATGCAAAGCAAATGAATGAGGAACAGATGCATTCCCAAAGCACTTTAAAATGTGCTTTAAAATATTCTCAAAAGGAATAAAATGCATGATAAGAATTTAAAACTCTATTCATCAAATTCAAAAACACAGTAAAAGCGATACATCCATTCAAGTGAGTTATTTATTTTGTAATAATAGTACGAGGTTTAAACAAGAGTAAATACATTTTGAAAGGGTTTGAAACACGATGTATGCTTTTGTGTATATCGTTATTTCTCTGCAATTTTTCACTGTAACTATGGTTTCTGTTATAGTTACTATATCAGCGATATTTTGCATGATAATTTTCAATCGCGATACCCAGCTTTATTTCATTTAACGATGTCATAGTTCTACGCCGCTTAAATTTTCCATTTTTTTAACAAATGAATACCTGTTTATTTCTATATGTGTAATCGGAACTATTCAAACCGTAATTTCATGTGCGTTTTGATTTTTTAGGAAGGAAGAACACCACTCCATTACGCGACTGCTCTTCCAGACAATGGAGCACTTTATAAGTTATTAAAATCTGCAGGCGCTGATGAAAATATAGAAGACAAGGTTAGTATCCCAACCTGATACTTATTTAATACTTTTAATTTGAATTATGTTGCTCCAATTTTATTATGCTTGTTTGTTGTATAAATGGAAGCGTGATTAAACCGTTCCATTAATAACGTCCAGTTTTTTTTAATTATCTCTCAGGAAACTTTATTTTACACAACTGTAATGAAATTGTTTATTGCTGATGAGTTGAAAGAACATTCTAAAAACAAAACTAAACTCAGCGGCGTAACAGCCCTAATAGGCCAAGGCCTGCAGGGTCCGAAATCTGCTTTCTTGTGTGTGTGATTATGGCAAAGCCTCGAGGGATATCTGGCTAAGGAGGGAGCCTTAGTGGAGGACTTTAATAAGGGAAATGGGGCTCGTTACACGTACACATGGGAAAACCAGAAAACGCCCATGCAGCCACCCGTCGCGGGATTCGAACCTCGGACCGAACTACCAGTGTTCAGCGACTTTACCGCTCGGCCGCTGGTGGGCCCCTGCTTTCTTGACCGTGGGCTCCGGGGTGCGTAAGGCATATGCCTTGAATAAGAAAGAACATTATACATTACTTATATCTTTATGTACTGACTGCATTTGAAGCCAGTCTACCAGATGTATCCTGAAATTTACGCAACTTTTTTACAGAATCTGAGAAATTTTAATCATTCTTCTTAAAGTTCGAATTTATGATATTTTATTTGGAAATCATAAAGTATACTACATTCGTATTGGATGTCCACCCCCCTAAGAAACGTTGTGTTTAACATGTCCAATAAAATACTTTATTTTCAGAAAAAGGAAAACACTTTTAACATATATACAGAAGGTAAATTTTGCAATTTAAGAATGAAAAATAATTTATGTAATGTGTCTTCTATCACCTGCTGTTTGTTCACATCGCACTCTCTCGATAGCATTCGTAATCACGTTTTCACTCGTCTGCCTATTCGAGGGGGCTAATAACACATTAAGTTTCCTCTTTAAGGTTTTTTTTGTTGTTGTTCTTTATGTTCATATTTCTTGCTATTTACAATAACACTGTCACGAATAATAACTGTGTTTGCAACAGACCGGTTAGATCGAGAAACGTGATGATTTAATGTCTGCTGTCAAACCTCTATCTTTATCAATCTGCGAACTGTTGTTTCATTAGATGCACGTTCACGTTCAAAGATTGCACTGAACTTTTTGTGCACGAAGCTTTATCACAATCTCTGCATAACACTCGTCATTTTTGCAATGAATTTTCAGAACCAAAATTTGATGTTTCGTTGTGTAGCGATCCACCAGCGACCTAATGGTAAAATTGCTCAACACTGGTAGTTCGGTCCGAGGTTCGAATCCTGTGAACTGGCTAGCTTATGTTGCTTTGCTTATAATAAGTATATCAAAAATTAGCATAGCTGTTACGCGGAAATTGCCATAAGTAAGGGTAACCTTATGTGCTTAATATTTGTTAGTTGCAATAGGAAATATAGCTCATACATGATTCACCTTGCATGAAAACTGAATATTTCATGAAACGTTTAGATCATTTTAATAAATAAATAAGGAGCTAAAATGCATGTAGTCCAAAATTACCTTTATATGTATAAAAATAGTGATATCTGATAAAGTAATCTATCAGTCTAATTTATATTTTCATGGAAAAGTAAAACGACTGCAAATCGTGTTATGATTGGCCAGTGTAGTTTAATCAATCTGTTTCTGAACATATAACAGCATGACATCATCTGAATGCGTGGCAACTGCTTTATATAAGGTACTTTTCCAAGTCAGAGTTCGATTTAAATATTTATTGCTTCAAAATAATTTTTATTTATCTTTTTTTTCTGCCGAAGTATTATTCGTAAGAATTTCTGAGATGGAAAATTGCTGACCATTTAGAAATAAAGCAGATAATTATGAAAAGGCTAAAATAGCGGAAGCTCAAGACATACAATTACCTCCGGAAACAATTCAATTTTAAACACTTGATAAAAGTTGCTAGATAAAATCGCGCAATAACCATTGCTAGATAAAAAGTGAGATAAAATCGTAAATGTAAAACAACTGATAAGGTATTTCTCCCGCCTTCTTAACGTGCCTTTGTGGTGTAGTGGTTCTGCAGGCTGGGCCGGTATTCCAGAGGTCCATGGTTCGATTCCCGGCGAATGCGTTTGCTCATTTTTTCATTTCTCTGGCTTTTCCAGTTAACCTAATGTCTCTACAAACTGAAGATAGTTTTCTGCTGGTAACTGCTAATTGCAAGTGGAAATCGATTAGTAGACAGCTGAGTTTAGATTCTGAAACCTCTACTTGAACCTTTTTATTGCGATAAACTCTATACAGAAGATAATATTGAAAAACGTTTTTCTTCTAGAGAGTCAAGATCTTTATTCCGTAATCCGTATCTCATTGGTTCCATAACAAAAGAGGGCCTTCTTAAGTATGTACAGTGAGCATAAAAATTGAAATTTTCAACCTACAGCTGTGTCTTGTTTGATGACAAGCAAGCCAAGGTTCTTTTTAATATCTGATTCTAACATATTTGCATCCATAGCAAGCCAATAATATGAAATATTATCACAAATAATAGGGAATATAACTCAACAGTGCACATGTGGTGGTATGCAAAGAAATAATTATTAATGGGCATATTGGCATGCAGGTGTTCGTCAAAGAATGTGTGCATTTCCGGATGCCTGAAGACGAAAATTTTGCAATCTTGATACATAAGCGATTTAGACATGCTTGTTTATCTGACTCTCGATTATCTTCATTTTAGAGATTCATGTGGATCTGTCTGACTTTCTGTTTTGGGACGATAATGCGCATCTACATCAAGAAGACGCTGTTGATGTAGTTCTTGAAACTGGAATCATTGAATGAATTGGGGCCAGCCACATCATCTCATTTGAGTCTCATGCAGTACTTATCAGGCGCCTTTGAGGAATTAGTTACATGGCGGGTTTCATTCGTTTTAGAGATTTTAGTTTCCTTGAAGATTAGATTGCTGGAACTTACCTTCCCCAAACTCAAGTTAATTACCTTGTTGTGATCCTAAAACTGCGTTGGTATATTGTTTGTAAAAGTATATTTCCTTTCTCGTAAAATTTCACTGTGTCAAATTATTTCAGTTTTATTCAACAAGTTATGAGAAATCACCAAGTACTCATGTAAACGTAAATTTGCACATCATTGTACTTGGTGGGACGTTATAAAGCGTGAATTTATAAGTGCTTCTGACTCATTTGAAATTTATCTTCACATAACGAAGAAAGGCAAAAATGAGAAATCTCTAAACCTACATGATTAGGCCTTCATTATGAATTTTAAAATGGTAGTTAGAATAGAATAAAAATAGACTATATTACTATAGTCTATTTTTATTCTATTCTATAAAATAGGTTTATTTATTTAAAATTCTATTCTATAAAATAGTTAGTATAGAATAAAAATCGCGTTTATTTCAGTATATTTCAGTTACCATTTTTAAAGAAAACCTAAGCAGATATAAATTCCCAAACTTTTAAATTATATCTGAAGCTTTAAAATTAAAATTAATTTAGTCTCTCAAAATCAAGTAATTAAATTCTCGATTTAATTTATCATGTTTTTATTATCGATTTTTAAATTTACTGCAAAAAACAAAATTGTAATAATGACTGTGGATTTCCTTTGTTTATCGAAAAAACATTCATTAATGATACTTTGCAAAATATTTCGCTCCCATATTAAATGGAGAGAGAGATGAACTCAGAAAAGTTTACAACTTTGTCAAAAAACTGACATACTGAACTTCTACATATTTTAATAAAGAGGATGACAGCGCGCCTTTTAAAACTCTGGAGCATGAATAATTTTACTTGCCTTGTCTTGTCAGCTTCAAACATAAAAAAACTTAAGAGGGTATTCGACAGACTAATTTTAAGTTGCAAAAAATCATAACTCGTAGTTCTTGCTAAGTTAGCTTCACGTGATGATTATTTTCATGAAACATTATCTTATAATGAAATATGTTAATGCAATGATTTTTATGTCACATTATTAATTAATTAATTATCCTAATTAATTAATTAATCAATACTTTTAGTGATCTAAATAGTCCTTTAATGTAACATTTTAAGGTGATATATTTCTGATTTATAATATTTTATCTTTTAGGCTGGACATAGTCCCAAGTATTATATGACTCATCCAGCGACTCTAACTTTAGCCCAACTTATGGAACCCTATGTTACGCATGAATAGGGATTATCCAAAGTAAATCTCCTGGAATAAAATTTACTGTCTTCTAAACAATTCTGTCCTTGAGATAATTAAGGATAGTTTTGGATAAACAGCTGTCTATAGAGAAAGAAATTTCCATTACAAGCAGAATACCCTTTACTGAAGAAATGGGGATGTGGAAGTTTTATTTTTCAATGGATATGAAGAAAATATTTGCTTTAAGAGGTTCAGAAAGCAAATACCTATATTTCTTCTAACTTTGATAGAAGTAAAATGTTCTATTCAGAGATATAATGTGTTATAAATCAAGGCAATAGTCAAAGTTTCAGACTCAACGTACATAACAAAGTAGATATTGTATAAAGTAAAAACGTTCCTTTATCTCCGTGTTAAGCGGAATTCACAGTTTTTTTTATCAGATTTGTGTAAATACTGTTGGGTAGCCTTTACTATTAATGAAGACTCGTGACTGTTTTCATAGAGAGATATAATAGTAATGTTTCTAATAAGTTTAGCTTTCTATCATAAGCTTTAATATTGTGTATAAAAGACATTTCAAATTTCAGCTTTAATATTTCACCAAAAGTAGAATTTCAAATTATATTGTGGTATATATATATATATATATATATTATAAGCCTGTCATTTTTCTTAGTCCAAAGCTGAACAACTGATTAAAAGAAATATGGATATTATATATTTTTGCGAAATGCAGTGGTGATACGCTTTCGATAGTGGTAAAAGCTAAATAATGGCAAAATTGTGATTACTTATGGCAGCTAAAACATAAAAAGCGCAATGCTATTAAATTTTCATTACGTTGCTGATTGTTCATGAATATGTAAAAAGGTATCCAAAGCAATAAATCCTCGTTATGCAACGAATATCTGCACTCTCTTAAAATTTTTCTTCTACGCTTACATGAATTCATATACTGACTAGGATATTTATCTTGATAATCTATATATAGAAATTTATTGTTAGATTTTATAATCTTATTCTTTAAAACATATATTGTTCATCAAATTTTAAAAGTTAATTTAATAAAAATATTTTAATCTTTTAGTTCAAACTTTTATACTACCATGGTAAACACTTAGTCTAATGTAATTTTTTTTTAAGAACAAAGCCAGGTACAGCTAATATTCTCATCAGAATAGAAGATAAAGAGGAACATTCTTTTTATTTTATTTACTTGAGAACAGAAGAGTTTTATTGACTTTCATTTTTGAACTTAATAAGATTTACAACTATTAATTGTTATGATTCCAGACTGGCTGAAAATTTTCTTCAGTATGTAGTTTCAAAATAAGATTTTTCTTCAAGATAGAAGTCATAAAACTGTACATTTCTTTGAAATAAATGAGAACTAAGGACAACTTAAATAAAATGATAGTTCAAATTCTGTGCAGAGAAAATTGAAAAATACTAGAAAAATTTATGTTTAAAAATCCTATCTACTAATAGATTTCGTAGGGGGATTTTTAAAACATATATGTTCCCAAATCCAAATTAGATGTGTATAAAACACATTCACATCATGAATACTAAAATATCCTTAAAATAGCAGGTGTAGATATTATATCCTAAAGAAAATATCATAAAATATATAATGCTTTTATGGAGAGGGAAATTATAAATAAACGCTTAAGACCACTATTACTGTAGCTCAATATGTTTGTTCTTATAAAGAGTATTAGCTTCATATGAGTTGCGTTTCTCTTTTTCTGGATTACATATTTCATCTGTTTTGCTTGATATTTCATTTTAAATGTATTTTATGTATGTTTAGGGAAATATCTATGTAAAACGTATGTGAAATATTCATGTTAATATATTTTAATGTTTTTTTATATGTTACAAGGTTTATGTTTTTGTTAAAATCAGCCCTAAATTTGTTTGCGTAGTACAAAATGTTATTCTGAAAGTATTTTCTAGTGTTAATTGACTGAAAGAAGGAAAGGCATTTAATTTAAAGGCGTCACAGTATGAATTTCTGCAAAAAGAAGTGGAAATTCCGTGTTCGTAAAATGATGTATTAAACTAACTGAAGAGTAAGATAACATTTATATTGCAGGTATCTTTCTTATAAGATCTGGAAATCCATACGAACAACTTATGAATCTTTAAAAACAATAAAACTTCCAAAGTTATCTGCGTCTTACTTTCATTTTGCTAGCCTTCAAAAATCTGAGATCCAAAATAAAACATTGAACTCCATGGAAGGATAAGAATGCTTAATATTAGGATTCATGACTTCAAAAAAGATTGAAAATACAACGAAAGATACGACATCTCTGAGAACAAAACTAATTATTCGCCTCTAGAATTAATGAGGTGATGAAGAGATATTGTAAAATATATTTGGTTCATATAAGTAAAAAAATCCACCAAATTAAACGCTAAGGATAAATACTAATTTTTAAACAGTTCCAGTGTTCTAAGATGCTGAGGAATTTATATTTTAAAGCAAGAAACTTCCCTTAAAAAATCAAAAGTTGGATTTTAATACATTACTTCAACTGACAGAATTATTAGAGGTAGTACATTTTATTTAAATAAATTTGCTTTAAAATGAAGGCAGCACATTTTACATAAATTGTTTTAATTGTAAACATCCACTGTGGAAATTGTTCTGCATGCTTTTTTACCCTTCCTGCATTTAATTTGAATAACTTTCTGTATAAACACTAATCGTGATCGTGAGACTGCTTCGTTGAAAGACTGCATCAAGTAATGAAAACCGAACGAAATATAACATGGTGTCAAATATTTTCTGACATTTACATTTAAAAGAGTAATTTTTTAAAAGAAGATTTCACAGAATCATTTCATTTTCTAATAACTGTATAACGAGGGTTTATTGTACTTACCTACGCAAGAAGAGTTATTTGTTTTTGAGAATGCTTAATTTTAAATAAATAATACGATACGAAATATCACAGGTGTATTTTTTCAGCAGCAAAACATTTACCCCGAAGCTGCAAAAATATGCAGAATCAATTGTGTGCCAAAAAAAGCACGAATTAGCACTAGAATTTAAATTTCTAAAAGTATCGGGCACATTTGTAATATGTATGAATTGTGATATTAATTGAAATGTGTGATTATTGTGTAGTTGTATCACCAGTTTAAAATTATACATTAGATTTCATCATTCATTTAAGAACTTCATTTGAGAAAAAATTTCAAAAATATTGATTTATATGCATTATCAAAATGAATTAAGATCACACAGTGTATATTATTGTAGTACATTTAATGTAATTTGTCCAATCGAAACTTTTGGGTAATTTGTTTCAAAATTAATGATACAATTTATAATTTTTATATGGTACTTAAATTTGTTCAAAATACAATGCAGTTATTCATAAAATTTGTAGTATAACAATAGAGGACAAAGGCATGTTTGCAGACTTTGAAAGTAAACTGCTGACTGAGATATGGATCATGGAAATCATGGAAACTCAATTATGATATCAGTTAAAAGATAGCAAGGCAGAGAAAGCCTATTGGTTATCGTTTATGAGGTCAATTTTTATCAACTTATATTAATTACATATTAATTAATGTAACCATTTGGCCAATATTGCCAAACAAATGTAATGACAGGCTATATCTTGTCCCAGGCTGTTATTGATATTGATCTATTTCCTATAATATCTAAAGTCAGCAATTTACTTTTGTGTTTTACATGCGCGTATTACTTAACATTATTTTGTTTTATAATTTTATTGTGCATAATGATTCCTTAATTTGCTTGTTGTTAATCTTTGTGATTCGTGGTTGTTTTTATAGTCATATATGTTCCTTTATATTGTACTATGTTCTCTTATACATTATATATAACTAGTACTACAATAGGAAAATAAATTTATTGGTACCCAAAATCTATTATGTAGTATTATTTGCTTTTTCCTGGAAATATGCTATAATGCTGCATAAGAAAATATCTAGTCTTCGTGCAATATACCCATGTATGAATTATTATGCAAAATAACTGCTCATGTTTAATGTATACTATTATAAATATAACTGATCTTTTATATGCATGTAATTTAAGGATTTTCCTTCTCTTTAATGAAAGTGACTCGCAATAATCTCAGTAAATTAACAATACAAATTGAAGAACTAAATAATCACAGAAGCTCAGGTAAGGTTTATAATTTTAGAAATAGTTTTGAAAATTTTCGAAATAATACTCGTTGCTGCTTTAATTTGCAAACATTAAATGCTACAAGACAAGAAATATTCTGAGATTTTGTAAAACAAGTAAATGCAGTTATAACATAAATTTGCATTAAGAAAATATTAAAAATAAAGCAGAAAAATAAAAACACATGAAAGCATTTAAAGTGAAAATAAGGCTGTAACTCGTCTTAATTTATGTTTTCGCGTAAAAAGTGCTGCAAATGTAAAAGATTTTGCACTCACTCAACCCATTTCCACTGTAGCCTAGCCATTGAAACAACGGCATTACGTTATCTTATTTTAGTATCCTTCTTTTCATCGGAATTTGATCTGACAGACAACAAACATTTTTCAGACTACCTTACGAATTTCTGTCACAGATATGGCTCTATAGCTGCTATAAGAGCACTATTATAACGGTTTCTGATGAAAGAAATTTTCTTGATTCATTATGTGCATAATATTATGATTCATTATGTGTATAATATTGTGATTTATTTCCATTTTTCTATTTTTGTAAATAGCTTTATCCTATAACAAGCAGCTCGTATATTACATAAAGGATACATTAACGATTTAGCCAGTTTATAAAAATATACGAACTGCAGTTTCTTTGGCTTATTTGTTTTTTTAACAAACATTAATATTAATATATAACACTTTTAACAGAAGTGTGCATAATAGCGATTGTATTATATAACTCAAATCTTGAAACAAAATTGATGTGTTTCGAAAGCCCCATTTTTAAAGTGACCATTCTTTACCAGTTCGCTGCTTACGTTACGCATTATCATTTTTCTGCCTGTCTACAGGAGTTTGATCAACTTTCTTCACTTTTCTGTACAGAGTACGAATGTAGGTGAAAAATGTAATCCATTAGCTGAAAGATATATTAATGGAGTGAAAGAAGATTTCGGAGGAACAAGGAGGTTGAACCAGTTATCTAATAAGATTAAACTTATTTTGCTCGCTTTGCATCCCTTAGTGTGATATTTTACAGGCCCTTGGTGTGATATTTTACAGGTAAACTTTGAAAAACACCGTCTGTCAAGAAGAAAACGCCATTAGGTAAACACCATAGGTAAAAGAAAAAAAAATAGAGTCCATTGAAGCTGATTATAGAAATTAGATATTCCTTTCCAGTCTAAAACTTTCTTTGCATATGTGAATGTTCCAGCAAGCAATACTTCACCTTCTATTAAATAACAAATTTACGATGAAGAATTCTGTAATTGTCTTTATCAAAATTTTGAAATAAATGGGAAATCTAATATTAAATTCATGGTAAAAGCAATCTAAAAAAACAACAGAAATGTTAAAATTAAAATTGAGAGAGAAATGCTACATGTACGTGAATATTTTACACCTGAAGAGAAATTTCTTATTTATTTAATTAGTTTGTTATAATTATACCCCAACATTCCGTGCAAACGCGCCGAAAAAAAATCTTTAGTTGTTTATCACGAACAGGAGACTATTAAAAAACTTCTTAATTGTGGTCTTAATATTGAATAATCCTGGTTTAAGAGAAAATAACCTGTATAAATATATTTTACAGAAGAGATAAACATTTGATATCGCAATAGTAAGGTACCCTGGTGTGGAAAAATTAAGAATCAGGAGGAGAAATGAGCATAAAAGCGGAACAAGGCAACAGAAATGACCGAGAAACCTACCGGGAGATAGACTTGGGACCGGTACACTGAAGCATGCGCATGTGCGGCACTTGACTTAGCAAGAAGATTGTAGAAAGGGGTTTTCACACGAATTTAACGAATTTAGAAGGCGTCATTCGGAAGACTACTCTAGTTCGCGTTATTCGGGAAGTTGGAAGAAAGTTGATGTATGAGAAATATAACGGAGAAATAGGATATAAATATAGTATAGAGTGTATAGAAAATTTTCACTTATAGTGCACTGTCGATTGTCTGTGTGCCAATTATCCAGTTTACGACTTATCTGTGCACGGCGGAGCCTACGCAGTCAACCCTTTACCCGAGAATGTGTAAAAAACAAACACGTGCAAGTCCGAGCGTGCTTTAAAAACCTCTGAACTGCGTTTTTATGTTTTCTTTCAATGATTATCTCGTGCAATTTGTTCTGCATTTGCATAGTCGAAAACAAGGTTGATCACCTGTATTTTTTTGCTTCGTTGGTATTTTAATGCATATTTTCTTCTTATCCTTTTAAAATTTATTTCAAATTTTAGAACTAAGTAATTAATAAAGAACATGTCATAAGTACTAAACACAAGAAAATTGTTTTAATATTAGAACAAAAGCTTACGCTAATCAAAAGATTTGAACATGGAGAATAAAAAAAAATCAAGCTTCTCGAAGAATATGGAATTGATCAGCAAACTGCTCATGGTGTTATTAAACAAAACAAGGATTTAGAGGCCTTCATAAGATCGTGTCACTGTGGCAAGTACTTCTGACCGAAAGAGCATGAAACTCTCACTACACTCAAACTTAGATTCAGCTATGCTGACATGGTTAAACAAGCAGAATGAGTATTAATCAGGATTAAAATATTCATGGAGAAATCCAAGTTTTTTCATGAAAAGTTGGGATTAGAGAGCAACTTCAAGACCTCGCCAAGTAGCTTGCAAGATTCAAGCAACGATATAGCATTCTTATTCTTATTATCTACGTGTTCGGCCCTACAGCACTACCGGTGTTCAGGGACTTTACCGCTTGGCCACTGGTGAGCCTAACGATACAGTATCCGAGAACTCGCTTAATTAAAGGAATTAAATTAATTAATGAAGAATCTCTGGTTAATCTTTGGATTATGGTAACTTGGCGATTTTTTAGCGAAAATTTGGCGACTAAACCTGCTACAGCAACCTGCTAGTTTTTGTTTGGACGCCATTTTGTTTTACGAAGTAAAGGCATTTTTTTTTTTTTTTTTTTACTCATTATTTCCAACATTTTTTTTTCCAACAATCTGCTAGCCGAATTACGCTTATGCTAGAACTTTTATGGGACAAAAGTGCTTAATCATGACGAAGATTAGGTGCGAAATTGGGACAAAGTGCAGAATCGCCCGCTGCTTGCCGCGTTTTTACGAATCGCATATACACGGTATCATCCATGTACACGTCGACCTATTTTAACTTAAAAAAACATCCCAGAATTGCACAAAAATGGCACTGAGCACAGTCTTGACTATATCCATGTAAACTGCTAAAGTCCTAGCTAGTAACCTTTATCGCCTTACCAAAACGTCGCCAAACTACCTGTTACCATATTCCAAAGATTAGCCGAATCTCTAAATATGTATATTTCTCGTATTGTGGATTGCACACACTCGAAAGTGTGTACCTCGAAACCCGAATTTTGAATTTCGAAATGTTACTTATTTATTTCACATTTTGTGCGAATTTAATGATTTGTTTGTTAACAAACTCAGTGATCTGGGAGTAAGAAATAGCAACACTCTTAGAAATAAAACACTAGTGAGCCAGTTTATTGCCATTTAGCAAAATGTAACATATTTATCTTTAAATTTTAATCCACAAATTCGGCTATTTGAAGGCAATGTGTTACCACTTATTACATCCAAACACCAGCATGTTGCCATTCAGTAAAGCGAAAGATATTTAATCTCATAAATATGCTCAGCGAAATCATAATAAATTACAACAAACTTTCTGACGCAATGTTAAAATCTGCATCCCTTCAGATTTTCTTCTTCTTTTTCCTTTTGTTCGCCTCTCTCTCTTTTTTTTTATATTTTAAACTCTTTTTCCCTGTTTCATACAAAGAACATATTATTCAGCAGTATTATCAATTTTCTGCCCAAAATTTATTTTAAAAGTGTTTTTACTGTTGTGCAGTGTTTTACGGACTTTAATATGTAGGCGAATTTATTGACACAATCAAGCCAGCGCAAATGACAACTTTTCATGCAAGTTCGGGTAATTTTTAGTTATTTCGCTATTTACCAATTCTGCAAAATTAAATTCTCCTCTATAAGGGAGAAGCTTAAAATGTTCAATGTCAAGACCCTCAGACATTTCCTCAAAATTTTAACTCACGATTTGTGGATTATTATTGCAAGTTACCCCCATTTTTTTAACGTAAATTTATTTTAATGAGCAGCATCTTTCGTATGCGCTCGTCGCAAAGGAGCTATTTCTAACATTGCTGAAAAGTGGTCGTCTAATATTAGGAGAAATCGAATTTATTTATGTCACATATAAGATATTGACCTAACAAATCAATTCCAACTCTTTCATTGGGAAACTTGTTTTGCGATATTTAAATAGCCGAACAGATCAGTGAATGTTTTGAATTCATTTGGCTCTTTTCTATTATTAATGATATAATTAATATCATTAATAATTTGGCAGGTGCTACATTTCAGGCACTGACATACACCGTTAATAATTGTTGTAACTGAGAAAAATAAACTGATTTTTTTACTTTCTGCACTATCATTTTGATGTCTAGATGGCCTGAAAATGGTGTGTCATGTAACTACTTTATGATATTTAATCTTAGGGCTGCTGGGAAGAACCGCGCAAAGGTATGGTTGGTTGGTTGGTAACGGAGGACGGGGACGCCTGATGTCTAACAGAGGTAAACAGGCATGTGTCCCGCGCCCTCCACTAACCAGGAACAACTCCCTGAGGCCTCAAGAGGGCCTCGGGAGCTTTTTAGGATGTTAAACAAGACATTTACATGGCCATACAAGGGCAGATTGCATTCGTTTTACTGTTTGACATTTGTTGTTGCAATT